GCATATCCATTGGGGCGCCGCTGAATTCTGGAATCAAACAGACGTCAAAGACCTTGCCTTCCATTTTGAAGAATCAATATGCCGAAATAGCTTGAGGCGAATAAAGAAAACAGTAACCAGCGAGTAAATTCAAGCTCTCCCAGCTGGTATTTCAACCTTGAGTCGTTCCTTCTTGAGTTCTGTCTCAAAATCACACTAACTGCCCGTTCTCGCCGTCAACGTCCCTCGAAGAACTCCCCGACTCGGAAAAAAGTAGTTGCTTTTATAGTTGTTCATATACCCATAATCATGTGATCCCATAATTCATTGTGTCCATGTCCCATAATGCATTGCATCGTTATTGCATAAAAATGCAATGCCAGTCCCCTCATTCTTTTTTACGTTATCTGGCCGAGGATGGATTACGGCAGAGTGTGGTGTGTAACGCAACAATTCAACTGATGATAGCAGGTAGGTACAAAGAAACCCGATGTCGCACGTCCAACCTTCTCACGAGCTGAAAGCCCTCTCGCCTGAAACAGCAAAAAAGCGAGCCTGCTTTATACAGCCGCGAACCTAACCACGATTTGCATGCGAATGACGAGACAATGAGATTTAACGTTAACTAATTGAGACCGCCCGGCATAAAACGTGGGCGCCGCCATTTTGATTTTTCTTTTACCGTTGGAAGGACCAGAGTTTGCATACTGCGCAGATTCGAACGCGTTTCCGAGGTAAGCCATTTTCACAATTTTCCCCACAAACCATCACACGAGCAAATGTAGCAGTCAGTCCATCTGAAGAAATCAGATTATTAATAACCCTTTAAAAGCAAGCTCCTCTGTTAGCAACCCCAAATGTCATGACATAATTGGTATAGTTGGCCATTGAAGTCTGTGTATATTTATTTTGGAATCTTTGGTATCTGATTGTATGCACTTTTCAGATCCAGGATACTTCCTGTATCATGTCATCAATTCAAGAGTGAGGGTAGGCATCTTATAGTGTGAATTTATTGTTTAAGAGTAGTCCATCACAATCCTCTTTTTGTTGTTCTCTCCAGAAACAGCCTGAATTTGGGCCCTCTGTTGGTAGTTGCTAGGTTTGATTATTCCTTCTTGTAAGAGTTTCTTTAATTCAGAAGCAATGACGGTTTTATCTGTGTTAGAAAAGCACTGCAATTTCACTGCTCTGAGCTTACCCTATTTACCCACCTTGCTCCCAACTGGAGTAAGGTGGGTAAATAGGGAGGGCGGATGGGCATTTATGGCCACAAGATCACACACAGTTAATTCAGGCAAAGGCCCACCGAAAAAGATGGATATACACAAATGCAGCTGTAGAAAGTCTTGACCCATTATTACATTGCAACATAAATCATATAATACAGTTAGTTTCACATTGGGGTACTGCTTATTTCCAACCAACAGTTTAATGAAACTAGTGCCTTTAATTCTAGTTGAGAGAGAAGAATCTATACTTACACTACCAGCAGCATGTGTGATGGTTAGTCCAAGTTAATTATAATTTCATGATTAATAAACTCTTAGAACTCCTCATATCGACTAAGGTGTTCATCAATTTCAACATTCATTATGGCTTGTACCAAATTGTTAGTAGTGCCCAAGTTAAGAACAGCAGCCAGTTGGTGTGATTTGCATACTTTAGCATTAAGAAAGGGACATATTTGTTAGAAGTAGCATTTTGTGCTGGGACCTTATCCCTGGGACAAAGATTTAGTCCACTGAAGTAGACTTTCTTACTAGTAGCTGTCACTAAGGGTTTGTGTTCCGTAGAGTTAAGGTTGTCAAAAGACATAGTATTTAATGTAGTTGTTTGAACATAAGCAAGAAATTGATTTGTAGGTATCTCAAGAGCTACAGCATGATTGTATGCAAGGCCAAACAGTCTTTAGATGTGGGCTGCAGAATGTCCCACATGAGGAAGATTGTGCTTTTACAGCCTGTTACACTTTGATACTCAAACTTTTGAGGACTTGACAATCCTATTGTTTTTTTTTTCTGTAAACCCCAAAGATAAAATCAATTCAGGAAGATCCACCTGTAACCATCCTTAACTAAGTGGTGTACTGTTTTTGTTTACTGCACAAATTCCACTTCAAAACTAGGGAGGATTAAACTCATAAATGTAATTCTTGGTAATTCTTTATGCTTTTGTTTATATAACTAAGTGTCAATTGTTTGTTTTGAAAGTCTATTTTTCTTTTTCTTATAATATGCTTTCTTTGTTCCTGAGGATATTTCAACTACCTTGTAATTAGGGAAGATCAACTGGTAGAGGGAGACACACCTAGTAACAGGATGCAAGTTGTGTAATCTTATAGTGAAATATTGGCTAAATATTTCTCACTAGCTCATTGTAAGTTTTTGTGATCAGAGCTGACAAATTGTTCACAAAACTAAGTTTGTCAGAAATCGCCTTTAGCTACAGGATTCATTAGATCACCCAAATTTCAATGCAGTAATTCCAGTACTGAAATCACTCATTTATCTGGCTTTCTTTTCTATATTGCATCATTTTTTCTTCTGTACAAATTTTATACTCCAAATTATTTTTATGTAATTTTCATATCTTTAACATTTTTGACTTTGATTGTATTATTGAGAAAATACAAATGCCTCTTTCTTTCAATATTAAATCATGCATTGTCAGAATATAACACCAGAAAAATTCTGCCCAAATTTAATAGAAGCACCCTTATTTCTGCTTGTATAGAAGATATATCCTGTTTAAATGATGGTGTATAGAGTGTATCTTTCAGGATACCACTCAGTATACGGTGTGCGATGAATAAATTGTCGTCTAAATTGTGCAAAAATGAAAATAACATTTGACATCTCATTTTAACAGACATATTTACCAAAATGGCACAAAAATATTTTGAAATACTAAAGAGTAAATTTATTCAATAAAATCTCCACAGCCTCCAGATGACTTTGGAATTTCCTGCACAGCCTCCTTGTTTAAGTTGGTGAATGGAATAAACCCCTTTATTGCTTGGAAACAGTTCGTCGGATGACAGCTCAAGCCGGGTGAGACCGTGGATGTCTACCTGGCTGATTTATGGAAACCTGGCAGTACCGTTTGGCGGAGCAACAGACCGCATACTGGGGTGCGCCTTCCTGGCAGGACTTCCTGACGACACCAGTCGGCTCCTGTGAGCGTCTTCAAGATTGGACACACTGGGAATTGACGAATTGCTAGCCAGAGCCCGAAACATCTTGAAAGACATGAACAGGTCGTGGCAGCCGTGAGAACGCCTGAGACACCGCAGGGAGGGCCCAAAGTGCTTTAAGTGCGGTGGACCCAACCATTTTTCTAGGGACTGCCGGAGCTGAAGTGATGTAGGAGGCGGAGCAGCCGACAGAAGCGAAAGCACGGGGTGGGTAGGTTGATGCTATCGCTGCAAAGAGTTAGGCCATGTAGCACAGGATTGCTCGAAAAAAGTCTGGGGACAAGGTGCTGTTGCAACCCTTGCCCCCTCTCAATCAGTAAAAATTTGCCTGTTGTCAACGTGTATGTTGAGGGTAAACGATGTTCGCGCCGTTGACACTGGATGTTGCGGATCGATGTGTGACATGGAGCAGTCAACAAATCGAGATTCAAAAAAGGACGATTGACGGAGTGTCCTGGGCCTGTTGTGGTGTCGGGACTGTATCAGTCCTCACAGACGGAGGGAATCATGCCAAGGTCGACGTTTTGGTGGCATGTCAAAGGCCCCTCGGGTACAACCTGCTGCTTGGGATTGATGCGATCCGAGCGTTAGGAGGCATGATAATCACGCCAGCCGGAAATGTGGAACTGGATAAAGGAAGAAAGGTGTGTGCAGCCCTTTGCATTAGTGAGCTATGAGATGATTTGGATGCTGAAGGAAGGATCCCACGTTTAAATGAGAAATCATATTGTTGCTACTTCCCAACCAGAAAAACAATTGTTTTTTCATTGTTTTTTGTTGAAAGCGATCACTGCTGAGAAGACGGATCTGTGCACATAGTGAGTTAGGTGTATATGCAAATACACTCAACCTAGGATGTCATCACAGGTGTGGTGAGCAATGAATGATCAGAGAATTTTGTCACAAAACTCGTCACAATTTTGCCACAAATGGTGCCACAAGGGGGTTGCAGTGTGGGGAATTAGGTGGCTGGATGTAAGGGGTGATGTGGTCACAGAAATTGTTTGACAGCCATGATTGAGTTCACCTGCCTGTGTGGCATGGTGCAGAGCTCTGTTGCCAAATATAGCAGCCACCCTTTTGACCCAGGGCAGCACTACCTCCTCAAGGCACTTGATGTAGGCTGCTGTGTCTGAGGCCCTCACCAACAAATCTTCATAATCACCATTAAACTCATTCAACTTTTTCTGAATACTCTGCACTGTCCTCAGATTAACACCCAAACATTCTGAAATGTTTGTATTGGAGCTTCCTGCATTAATGCTAAGCAGTACAGCATGTCATTTCCAAATTTCTGGTGGAGTAAATTGTGTCATGATGTTCTTTTTCTCAGAGACGGTGCTCAAGTGACTATCATACTGTGCAGTTGACAAAATTAAAAACAAACACACATATGCGCAAAATAAAAAAAATATAAAATGGCAACAATTTACCCATCTCACTCTATATTTACATTTGAATCCATCAAAGAAACATAGGTATTACATTTCTTCAAACAATATTATCTGTTCTGCTACCATCTGCTGACTTGAAAGGTTTTCAAGACAAAACTTATTATCAAAACTTATAAAATGTTGACTTGTCTGTTATGATTTCCTCAAAGAAATTAATTCTGTTCAAAATGATTCTGGGTTTAAGTTTGGATAAATATCCATTTAAGATTTCCGATGACTTCCTACCATTGCAGAGGATAAAAGAAAGACTAAAAATTCTGAACAGACAGTATACTTGGAAGTAGTTTTATGAAATGTTGCTATAAACATTTATTTTGTTATATACATGAATTTTTTTTTAAGTTATATGTTCTATCTATTTATTTTTACAGTTAATTTATTTAAAGATGATCCAAACATTAATGATGTGAAGCAAGTTCATTTCCTTTCTCAGGAGGAACTGTTTTCCTTTGTGGTCGAGAAATCACTTTATTTTCAAAGACGATTTGAAGAATTGAACATCACAGACCACCATGAACAGATGTTAATCAAAAAGTAAGTCATCTTACAAAAATTAATTTTTTTTTTTTTACTATGTGTTAAAAACACAAGATATTAGTTTTACAAGAATAACTTTTAATACTTTAAGTTCTTAAATCATTAAAAAAGTAAAAAGATATAGATTATCCAACCTCCACTATTCAACATCATGAAATCTTTAAAAAAAGTCAGAAAAGAAAACTGTGTTTAACTTAGGGGGTGTTTTTGTACTTTGAGTTTCAGTATTTTATTTTACAATTGTTTCATAATAGGGAAGGGGAAACATACAATAAGAGTAAAATGAAGATTCAGTTATATTTTTAAATGACAAATTGTTTTACACTGGCCACTATTACAAAATACATTATTTGCACTATTTACATGCAAACTGTTATCCTTATCTTTCTTGTTATCACAATGTTTCGGTTATTGTGCCCAACTTCATCAGCTTAATGCCAATCTGGGTAACCTACAGAGAATTTTGAACTGAACCCCTTATTTAATTTACAATAGACTGTTCTTGTTTCGTTGCTCATGTCTTGGAAAATCTCATCTAGTTCTTATTTTTAATGCTACTCATTTATTGCTTACTCTGTTTTCACTGAGTTCAAGTACACACTGCTTAGCCCAAGGATTGAACTCACAAACCAATGCTTTAATCCATTAGGCTATTGGACAATTTTCTGTAGAGAACTTGGAGCTTTAAAACTAACTTACCTGCTGATTGGTGCTGTTGTTTGTCATGCTTGACTGCACTCCCTGATCACTTCTCTTTTGTTACAGCTGCTGCTGTTGAAGATGTACTGTCCTTTCTCTTTTTGTATTAGAGGCTCCCCATATTGTATTTATTTCTATTCTAGGCCTACTAAGTAGATCCTGATAGCTTAGCATATGTGCTAATTCTTTCTGATGTCTAACTTTTCAGTGTTCTTCCTTGTCCAGTATTTTCATTTCATTCCATGGGCTGAAGTCTACACTTTTCCCTCCATATATGATCAGCCAATGTTGTTAACTTTATTGTCTCACTACAGCCTTTTGATGTTCCTCCAGCCTTACTTTTAGTTTGTTTTACCTTTATATTCTTTGACACAACTGCAAAGAATGGAGTATATGCAGTTTTTGGACATGTTGTCCCTGTGTTAGTCTTTACTTGGCAGAGATTTCACAATATAGATAGATACATAGATGACACCTTCATACACTGGCCTCACCAGGAAGCTGTACAAATATTCTTTCAGACTGTATGAACTCAATATGACCTTTGATCTAGTTCAGAATGGAAGAAGAAAATAATTGGCTAGCCTTCCAAGAGGTACTAATATCTTGCTCAGAGAATGGGTTCAAGACACAAGCCAACCTTCACCAATTCCCACCATCCATACAGTGTGAAGAAAGGGATTGTCCAATGCTTACAACACTGAGTAATAATCATAAGTGGCAACCCAAACATACAAACAGAAAATGATCAGCATCAAACACACCATTCAGGATAACAACTACCCTGCAGATATAATAGCAGTGTCTGTGGGTGGAAACAGAAGAGTCAAGTAAGAAAATCAGAAAATTGCCATTACATCAAGGGATTATTGGGAAAGAGGGTTCATATGACAGAACGATATTTAGAAACAGCTCCACTTTACGGAGAAATCTCATTGGGGAGATAGATGTCTGAAAGAATCAGCATATATGGTAGGCTATAAGGACCTCCTTAGTAGGCCTAGCATAGAAATAAATTATGGGAGCCACTAATAAAAGAAAGGCAAGTGACAGCATGTCTTCAGCAGCAGCAGCTGTAGCAAAAGGAAAAAGTTTCAGGGAGTGCAGTCAAGCATATTATCACTTGCCCTGTCAGCTGGGGCTGTCGAATATGCTGACTGCACCTCTGCAGATGGGTAAGACCTCCCCAATAAAATGACTAACCAAAACATCCACTTAATAAAAATCTATGACATATGGCTCAGTGGGCAAAATTCCTAACATATGGAAGCAAACTACAGTGATCCCCATACCCAAACACACAAAAGATACTACAGATCCAACAAATTACAGATTAATTGCATTAACCAGCTGTATATATAAAACACTTGAATGAATAATAAATAAGACTGGTGTGGTATTTAGAAAGCAATAAAATAATTACAGAATACCAGGCAGGATTCAAAGACAAAAGAATTCCAATAGATCATTTAGTCAAAGACTAGAAACAAATATAAGAGAAATGTACATAAAAAAAAGAACATTTACTAGCAATTTTTTTTACTTAGAAAAGGCGTATGACTCCAAGTGGAAATATGGTGTAATGAAAGATCTAAAGTCTTTATCAACAACTTTATAACCAATAGAAATTTCAGGTTATGTCTGGGTGGGTGGTAGGGTATATGCTTCTACATATCTGCAAACTTGAAAGATTCCAAATGAAACTTTGTCAAATCCTACAGAATATACTCAACTGAAAAGGGGCAAGAAATGGGAGTCCCACAGGGGAGCATACTATCAATGCACACTATTCAATATAAAGATAAACAATAATAGCAAAAAAACATAAACACTGGGACAGAATGCCCTCTATATGTGCATGGCTACTTAATCTGTTAAAGATCAAAATACATGCATACAATAGACAACTCCAGCTATGCCTCAATAAGGTCAATAAATGGGTCACAAAAAATGGCTTTAATTTTTCAAAGGAAAAAACAAAATGTGTACACTTTTGCCAACGCCAAAAAATGCACATTGACCCTATTTTAAGGCTCAACAATAATATAATACCTGTAACTGACCAATACAAATACCTAGGCATTATATTTGAAAAAAACCCTTACATTCATATCACACAAATATTTAAGAGCAAAATGCAATTACTCAGAATCCTAGCATATATTGACTGGGGTGCAGATAAAAACACAAAACTCAAATTCTACTATAATCTAATCATATCAAAATTAGATTACAGATATTTCATATATGGATCAAATGTCCAACATTAAACTGGCACCCCTTCCCCATCACAGGGGACTTGAGACAATGGTGCATAATTGCTTCTACACTCTTCTACATTTACTTGGTGGCAATGCTTCAGGAGATTCCAGATGACAACCATGACAACCTGTTCAACATGGGTCTCCTCTTGACCAGAACTCAAACAACATATGCAGAGCTCCAATTATGCTGTTGACAACTGCACCCTGGCCCAGAACTCAGCGGCCCACTTCTCCAGATTGCATGTGCTATGGACTCTCCATCAACATTGCAAAGACCAACGTTCTGCTCCAACCACAACATCAACCACCACCTGGTGTCAAAATCACCAGACTGAACTTGGAGAATGTTGAACAATTTCCATACCTCAGTAGCGTACTAACATTAAATGCATCTGCTGAAAAAAGATGTCAATAACTGAATCTTGGCCCTCCATGCAGCATAAGGGAAGCTATTCAAAATAGTCTTTGACAAACCTGGACTAACACAAACCACCAAGCTAATGGTCTGCTAAGCTTTTGTAATCTTGCCTCTCCTGTATGCCTGTGACACCTGGGTACTCTACTGAATAGACATCTGCAAACTTGAAAGATTCTGTCAAATCCTACAGAATATATGACCAGATCATGAACAATGAAGTTCTCATCTGCGCAAAGATGGACATTGTAGAAAGCACCATGACTTGCCACTGACTTTAATGGCTGGACATCTTGCCCAAATGTAAGACATCTGCCTACCCAAACAAATTCTCTTCTCAGAGCTTATATCTGGCAAGAGACCATGTGGAATCCCATGTTGTTGATTCAAGGATCAGCTTAAAAACACCTTACTGAGGACAGAAATCAATCTGGTCAATTGGAAGAGGGGAGCCGCAGAAAAAAAAACAATTGAAGAGCAGTCCACAGAAAACAACATCCTTCAAAAACACCAGAAGACAAAATAGAAGTGACAAAGAGAGCACAAAGAAAAGACTGAGCCCTCCATCTCCTGAACACTCATACCTACCTCCAATATAGGGCTCATTTTACACAAAAGGAAATGGCAATGAGCAGTTGGCAATGAATTCTACCAATGATGACAATGATTGTCAAATGTGTTTCAAAATGTGCATATATTGTTCATACTTAATCAGAAATTTTAAGTTTTCTTCCTCGTTCATTGTTATTTGAAATTTTTTCTAAAAGTAAAATGTTCATTAGAATTAATTTATTGAATTTCATCTGATTGGACAATACAGGTACAGGCATCCCTTAATTAATACATTTTCGATTAGTGTGCCAAAATCTTTTTATACCAAAATTTGATTATTGCCTACATAATGCTTGATTAGTGCAGTGTAATGAAAATAACCAACAATTATTACAACTTAAGAAGCTTTAATAAACTAATTTTATAGGCTACTGTTAGTGACTTAAAAAGTCCACCTTTGTTTCCTTGTGGTGTGCAGGGAGTGTGTCGTAGACCAGGAGAGTTCTTTAAGGGCCAATAACCTTCATTCACCAGGGATTTCCTCAAGGGGGCTACCAATTGCTGTTATTCTCTCCATCCATTTTTATTTGGTTACAAGTCTAGATGCTTGAGAGGTTTTACCAATCTGGAAGATCTACAAAGTACTGGACAGTTGGCTTTAGTTAATGAAGGGATGGGTGCAGTTAAATTCAATTGACTCAGATGACAACTGTTCATTACTATTGATATTTTCATTTTCAATGCAATTAGTTCTTTCTATCAGCACTGAAGGGACCTCAAAGGTTTGTTTTATTAAACCAGTGTTTTCTGCCCCTCATATGGGACATGATGCTAGATCCCTTAATGATATCGTTGATTCTCCTCCATTTTGGAACTTAAGGGTATTTATGCTTATTAGCTTAACCTAGCTACTTCCACTTTTTCAGCATAAATTTTCAATACCTAAGGTTTAAAATGAATTTTTAAAAATGAAAAAGCATTCTTGAAGATTTCATTTTAGCTTTAATTGAAAGCTAAATGATTAAAATTATTATTTCCAGTAAGTAAAATATTCTGTTATATTTCAG